CATCCGCAGCTGAGTGTCCTTTCGGCTTTGGCCCAGCCACTTCATTAGCTCTGGAGCTACTTGTCCCTGTCCTCCGCTCTTCCTCATTAGCATGTTGGAAGCCTTCCTACCTGAGGGGCTCATCTTCCAGCATCATATCTTTTAGCCGTTTGTTTCTGTTCATGGGGTATTCTTGGCAAAGATACTGGAGTGGCTTGCCGGTTCCTGCTCCAGGTGGATCATGTTTAGTCAGAACTCTCCACTAGGACCTGTCCGTCTTGGGTGTCCCTGTACGGCATAGCCCATAGCTTCTCTGAATGACTCAAACCCCTTTGCCATGACAAGGAAACAATCCATGAAAGGGGATAATACGACAGTCCTTTTCAAATGTTTGAAAGGCTGTCCTGTGGAAGATGCGGCAGGCTTGTTCCCTGTAGTTCCAGAGGCCAGGACCCAATGAGATGTATTGTGATTAGGGTTAAGGTGTTTCATCTTCATCATCGCTGTGAACGCACACAATTGGGTTATTATGCACCTGCACAGGACCTCTCGGAAGGTTCTAGAGCTTAAAGACATGTGATTGCAGGCGCAGAATAACCCAATTGTGGATTCACAGAGGACCACTTGAAGAACCATGGTTACAGGTAAGTAACCTTTCTTTTTGCCTAAACCTGATGCCTTGTGCATGTGCGGAGCTGCAGAACAACAAAGGGTAAGAGAAATGTGTCTGGAAAGGGTGGTAAGGAATGTGGTTCCATGTGTGTGTGTCATCTTTGTTGAATTCTGGATGGCCCCCAGAACCAGCCTCAGCCTCCAGTTGCTGCCGTCTGCTCTGACCAGGACTCTGCCATGGCTTGTTGGGACCGGCGGTGGCTGGGCCAGGGAGAAGTGGCTGTTTGGCCCAGACTGCCCCTCATGCAACAGACACAAGGATGAGCCCAACCCCTGGCCTTTCCACTTGCCCTTTTGTATGGCTGCTGCCATTCTGACAATCAAGGTCCTGGACAGTGTGAATCAGGGATGCTGGAAAACACAAGGACCGTCATAGGCTCTTGTAGGTTTGAACGTGATTGATCTCTTTCCCAACCCTCTGTTCAGGTCAAAAAACGGATGGGAAAGGTGCAGCTGAACCAAGCAGTGGCTCCAAGCCCCTGGAGGAACCACCCAGCAGTCAAGCCCCAGGTAAGCAGCTGTGAAAAGGGGCTTAAGTGGGGGGGAGGGAGGACTACAAAGATTTTCCATTGGATGGGCTTGGTGTGAACTGCAGCTTTCCTGACATTGCAGACCACCTTCCCCAAAGACTGGCTTATAAAAGCAGCACTTTGGGTAAAAATGTTAGAAGCAACAGAAAGGGGGTGGAGTTCTGACTTAGAGGAGAATGTGGGGCACATGAGATTAGTGGGGTAAAGGACAGTCACGTGAACAGGGGCTTGGCTGCAGCTGGAAAGGAGCTCACAAGGAATGCAGGCGGCAATTCTTTTCTTGCTGAGAACAGCCTGGTCCTTCAGGTGTTGGCACGAAGGAGTTGTCTGGTTTTGTTGTTGTTTAGTTGTTAAGTCGCGTCCGACTCGTGATCCCATGAACGAGAGCACAACAGGCCCTCCTGTCTTTCACTGCCTCCCGGAGTTGGGTCAAATTCGTGTTGGTCACTTCAATGACACTGTCCGTCCATCTCGTCCCTCTGTCGTCCCCTTCTCCTCTTGCCTTCACACTTTCCCAACATCGGCATCTTTTCCAGGGAGTCTTCTCTTCTCATGAGATGGCCAAAGTACTGGAGCCTCAGCTTCAGGATCTGTCCTTCCAGTGAGCTCTCCGGGTTGATTTCCTTTAGAATGGATAGGTTTGTTCTCCTTGCAGTCCAGGGGATTCTCAAGAGTCTCCTCCAGCACCACAATTCAAAAGCATCCATTCTTCGGTGGTCAGTCTTCTTTATGGTCTGCGCTCGCCAAAAAACAGCCGGAATGGATTAATCAAGTTTCAGTGCATTCCTATGGGAAATGCTGATTTGACTTACAAGCGTTTTGATTTACAAACATTTTCTGGGATGGATTAAGTTTGTAAGTCAAGGCACCACTGTATTCTGCCTGCCTGCCTGCCTGCCTGGTTTGTAAAGGAGGCTCTGTTGACATCGGTGGGGCCTTATGGGTGTGATGTTTCTGTTGGAGGAAGCAGGGGCCCGAGGGGGCAAATGAGGAGGGACTTGGGCCTGCTCCTCTAGAGACAGGGTTTTCCCACAGAGATGGCTGCTATGATTTTATTTCACAGCTTTGCACCTCTTCCCCCCACCCCTACCCAGAGCTTAGCCGTGAAGCAAAGGCTGCACTCACCCTGCAGAGTGGCTTCCGTCGCCTCTTGGCCTGTCGGGAAAGAGCAAGGCGGCTGAAGGAGCGGCAGGAATACAACGAGTTAATGGAGCGCCTCCAGAGAGAGGTGAGATGCAGCGGTGTGGCTTTAAAGGCAGACCTGCCAATTCATATCCACTGGGAAAAGAAAGGGGCCCTTGGACAGCCATGCACGCCTTCCTTCGTGGCTGCTAACGGCAGGCAGCCACTGTGATTGTGATAAAGGTTCTGGCAGGCCAGACGGACAAAGGTCTCCAGGTCCCGCTGGCGACGTTCCTGCTGGCCATGTGAATGAGACCCCATGGGGCGTCCCCACTGGGCGCAGCAGCGGCCTTTGCCCTCCGGACTTCCCCGGCCGGTCTCGCAGCCCCTTGCCTTGCCTTGCCTCCTTCTGGAGGCCCCTCGTACCTGGAACGCTCCCCCACCTGGCTTGACTCTGGTTGTTGGTCCCGCCCCTTGGAGGCTACCCTGGCTGTTTGCCTTTCAGGCCTTTGTCGCTTTGGTGAAGAGGGAGCAAGAGGAAGCGGAGCGGGAGCGAAAGAGGGAGGAGGAAGAGAAGAGGAAGCAGCGCGAGGAACAGCACAGGAGGAAGCGGATGCTGGAAGCCGCCTTTGACGGGGACGTGGAAGAGATGAAGGCCATTCTGAAAGAGGTTCAGTGAGGGAGGGCTGCAGTGGGAGCCACACCGGGACGGGAGACTGGAGAGCTGTCTCTCGGGGAGGTGTCTCCAGGTCCCCTCTTCAAAGGAGGAGGTGGAAGAGGAGGAGGAGGAGGAGGAGGAGGAGAGAACAACCAGGCTGTGCAGGTGTTGCGCCCGGCCAGAGAGAGAGAGAGAGAGAGCAGCAGCCGCAGCAGCAGCCCTGGCCCATCCGGTGTGACTCCCTTTCCAGCCTCTGTTTTTACCTCTACTCAGCCTGTGGTCCCTTCAGTGTCCTGTGTCCCTTCTAATTCTTTCTCTGAACCTCTCCATGAAACTTCGCATGCCTCTTCCGGGGGCGGCTGCCTCCTGGACTCCCTGGTTGGCATCCCAGCATCTCAGTCTCTCTCCAGTCAACATCTCCCCCCTGCCCCTTACCCCATTTCTGCATGCAGCCTTTTGGCACTCACTGTCTGCCCACCTGTCTTTCTTCCTTCCTTCCTTCCTTCCTTCCTTCCTTCCGGGGCAGAAGGAGAACTGGGCGGCAGTGCCAGTCCGGAGGCTTTCACAGCAGGGAGGCCATGCTAGACTAGGCCACAGCAGGCCCAGCGAGCAAAGGGTGTTTGGTTTGCCATAGAAGGCCACCCGCGCCTTGGCAGAGATGTTCCTGCTTGCCCTCATCAGCGCTGGCCTCCTGGATGGGGGCCTCCTCTGCGGATAGAGGACTTCCGCTTAGCAAGCTTGGCTTCATCTGTCCGCCCTTAGCCTTGTAGCTGGAGAAGGAAGAGGAGAAGGACAGGGAATTAGGCCAACCCTTCCTGGCGGCCCCAGCTGTGCTCTGGGGGAGTGGAGCCACCTCTGTCTCCTTGCAAGGGTCCTCCTCCTTTTTCTAGCCCCCTCCCCAGATTTAATGTGATTAATTCTCCTCCACAGGCCCCTCTCCCACCACCCCCACCACCCCAGTCCATTACAGACTGTCTTCCTTCTCCAGGTGGCCAACCTGGACACCCAGAATGGGGTGGGGACTGACGAGAAGGGGAAGGCTGTGCGCCTCCAGCATCGCCTCAACATCGTGGACTGCACAGACGCCAATGGCAACACCCCCCTCTCCGAGGCCTCTGGCGGGGGACACCCCGAAGCCATCCGGATGCTGATTGAGAATGGGGCCAATCCAAACAGCCGAGTGAGAAGCGGGTGCATTCAGGCAGGGGCCAGTTGGGGGGGGGGAGGGCCGTTCCTCCAGCCATGGTGGGGCCCTGGCAGCCTGGCTGCCTTCTGCTACAGAGCTCCCGCTGTGCTTTGCAGCCACTGCAGTGGCATCTCTGGGTCCCCCCCCCGGCAGCTGCTTGTTTTCTTGTAGGGCTGCTCCAAGGCTGGAAGCCCCCCCCCGAGTGGCTTGCCAGACAGTTCTGTTGTCCCACTTCTCGTGTGCCGCTTGCTTGGCATCTGGGATGTGGCTTCCCATGGAAAAACCCCCATTCTTGGGTCAGCCTGCTTGGTTGCTTGGCCATGAGCAAAGGCAGAGAAGCACCAAGGCCCTTGATCCTGTGTGGGGCTTAGCTGAGCTCTGGAAAGGAGCCTTTCTCCCTCCAGGGCAGCAGCCTCCCCAAGCTGAAGTCAACATGGTCCTGATCTGCTCTCTGTCAGAGCCTCTAGTGCATTCATAGAGTTGAATGGGAGATCCAGGATCTGGGCTGAGTTGCTACCTGGGTTTTCTGTAAGCATCCAGAGGGAGATCCGTGTGGTGGACTACGCGGCAGTTTGTTTTCTTTTTTATAAGGGGTTTGCCCCCTGTGGTGCTGAAACCCCCCTGCCCCCTTGTAGCGTGCCAGAATGGGTTTTGTATACCTTGGTTCCACCATTGGTCTAAACGGGAGACGGCAGTCAGGAAGTCAGAAGGAGATGGAGACTCGGAAGGGCAACAAGAAAGGATTCGGAAAAGATCATCAAATGTAAGGATATGTCGGTGGGGAAAGAGACCAAGCTCACCCCCACACTCTTGTTTTCTCGATCATCATGTATGGGTGTGGAAGCTGGACAGTTAAGAAAGCTGACAAGGGGGGGAAATTGAAATGGGGGTGCTGGAGGAGCGCTTTGTGGATACCCTGGACCGTCAGAAAGATGAACAAGTGGCTGCTAGAGCAATTCCAGCCTGAACTCTCTGGAGGCAAAAATGTTGAAACCGAGGCTGCCCTACTTTGGGCACATCATGAGAAGACAAGTGGGGGGGGGGGAAATGATGGTAAGAAAGGTGGAGGGCAGAAGGAAAGAAGAGGACCAAATAGCAGATGGACTGACTCTCTAAAGCAGAGGTCCCCAACCCCCGGTCCGCGGCCCGGTGCCGGTCTGTGGCCTGAGCTGGACCGGGCACCGAAGACAGACTTCCCGCCCCCCCCTCGCACGCACTCACCCTCACACAGCCTGTTTGTGCCTATGAGCCTCGTGGCGCAGTGGTTAAAACGCTGTACTGCAGCTAAAACTGTGCTCACGACCTGGGGTTCAAATCCCAGGGAGCTGGCTCAAGGTTGGCTCAGCCTTCCATCCTTCCGAGGTCGGTAAAATGAGTACCCAGCTTGCTGGGGGGGGGCAATGTGTAGTAGCCTGCATAATTAAATTGTAAATCGCCCGGAGAGTGCTTGTAAGTCCAAAAATAAATAAATAAAAAATTGCCGTACGTGCTCCAGCGTGCCTGTGCGAGTGCTGTGCTGCCGTTTGCGCATGCACATAAGCGCACAAGCGCCGTGCTGCCGTTTGCACATGCACACAAGTGCGGGGGGGTACTTCGCCTTCCCCAGCCAGTCCGCATGGTGAAAAAAGTTGGAGACCCCTGCTCTAAAGGAAGCTACAGAGCTGAGTTTATAAGAGCTGAGCAGGGGAAAATGTTTTGGAGATTGCCCAGTTCATTCTTAGGCCTCCTTCAGTCTCGAGAGACTATGGTAACGTGCTCTGTATCGAGGACTTGGAACAGCGTCTAGTGTGGCTGAAGAGGCCAATTCAAAAGTGACAATCTCTTCCACACTGAAGACAAATACAATCTGTCCCCTGTCCAGTTCCCCGATTTTGCTGCTTCCAGGACTGTCTCTTTGTCTTGGCCTGCTGGACAAGGGTCTCTTCAGATTAGGAGAGTCCATGATGCACCGCCTGCCTCCAGGCTGAACGATCAGATGTCAAGGTTTCCCATCTGTTGAGGTCCATTCCTAAGGCCTTCAGATCCCGCAGATCTCCTTGTATCGCAGCGGTGGTCTCCCTCTGGAGCGATTTCCCTGCACTAATTCTCCATACAAGAGATCTTTTGGAATCTGACCATCAGCCATTCTCACGACATGCCCAAGCCAGCGTAGACGTCGCTGTTCCAGTAATGTATACATGCTGAGAATTCCAGCTTGATCTAGGACTGCTCTATTTGTAACTTTGTCCTGCCAGATGATCCCAAAAATGCATTGGAGACAACGCATATGAAATGTGTTCAGCTTCCTCACCTGCTGTGCACAAAGGGTCCAGGACTCACTGCAGTACAGGAG